CGCACACCACTAGGCCCCTTTCTTTGTCGGGCGAGCATACTCTGGAGCTCTTTATGCCGGACACCTGTTAGAATTAGTAACCATCACGACAGCATTATGTAAAACATAATGATAGTTCTCCTGCCTATTAGTGTACGCGTCCGTACCCTCGTGATGGAATAGGGGTATCCCCAATGCATGAGGTCCCAATATTTTTCCATTTTCAACATTATTAAATATAACCCTGCTATCATCTTTCATTTATATCATATCATTTCTCAGTTCTCATATCATGCATAATTCTAAGAGTGTTTATATTTCATGTCATTCATATCACGTTGTATACATACAATTTATGAGACATAACATAACATTTCACGCTTTTAACATAACATTTCATGACATGCGATACATATAATAATTATCTCAATGGTCACATAAAACAATCTAAGCATAACATATCACGTCACATTATATCGCACACCAATTCAGTACAAAACAACATATGTTCACATTGCATATACTTACGTATTAAATCATAACAGTCTAAACATACAATTTAGGACACGTGCAAAACTATGTGCACGTGCCAATATACAACATACAATTTACATAACCTACGACAGTAGGGCCACTTACTTGGTAGGCCTTAGCCGACGTACTCCCTAATAATTTATACGTAAGCTCCTAGCTCATTGTACGCATCCTACGCTATCATCGTGGTTGGTTCCTATTTGATCATTCAACACCTTTTGTTATTATTTCACAAACATAAACATATTCCAACTTAAAATTGTGAAATACGACCTTAAAATGACCTATTTTTACCTTAAACGAGGTCGAAATCAGGTCCGAGAGGGTCGGAATGGTGCCGAAAGGGTTGAAAATGGGTTCTCGAGCCCAGAAGCCGTCGCCGGAGCCAAGAGGACCTTTTGATAAGGCAACCCTAATCCTCAGCCCAACGATCCAAGATTTTGTTCAAGCAAGAACTATTTGAATCAAAGAAATTAATACCTCCCTATACATAATTCTGATAAGGCTAGAATTAGATTACCTATTACTCTTAGGATCAAAGATCTAGAAGCAAGATTTGGAACCATGTTCTAAATTGAGTCACTTCACAATCGAACTCAATCAAGACTTGATTGAATAGCTCGGATGCAATCTATCACAAGAATTGTTTGAAACTTAGAAATGACAAAAATGATGCTCGGATTTATGAGGGCGTCTTACCTTGAGAGATCAATTTCATTCATCACAAATCTCATTTTTACATGATAATTTGTGGGTATTTATAGTCTCTACAAAAGAAGTTAGCCATGATTTAATCTCAATCCCCATAAATCTCACAAAAGACGAAGTTAATCTCAATCCCCTTAAATGAGACTAAGTCAATTTGACCATTACAAACTTTATGAAATTAAAAATAATAAATAAATTATTCTAACAACTCATGAAATGATGCTTGCAACTTCATCAGCTACTTAACCGTGCAAATATTCACTTCTGAAGTTCCAAATGGTCATTTCTCAATCGAATCAGCTTGTAACACATGAAATGATGGTTGAACTGAGTATATCCAATTTTGTAGATGAAGAATGAATGCTTGTTGAATTTTCTTGGCCTTGGATCATGTGATAGGTCCGACTGGAACATTTGAAATATTGTGATCCTTATCATCTTCCACCTCTTCAAAAGGATTCGTCATCGAATAAAAAAAATCATCACCTTGCTTATATTTAATGACATAGGCAAATGTTTCAATAAACTTCACCCACTTTGCATGCCTACGGTTCAGTTTGCTTTGACCCTTAAAATACTTCAAACTTTCATGATAGAGTGGATCACAAATTCTCTAGGCCAATTCTCTAAGCCATAAGTAGTGTTACCACACCTGCAATGTGCTAACTAAAGCAAACAATTCTTTATCATGGGTAGGATAGTTGAATTCTTTATCATGGGTAGGACAGTTGAATGCTGCCCCATTTAGTTTTTCACTAAAATAGTTTTCCATCTTGCATCTAATCAGCACCTATGCCCAAACCACTTACATCATACTCAATTTCAAAAGTTTTATTCAAAATTAGGCAAGACAAGCCGTGATACATTGGTAATTTGTTTTATCAAAATGAGGCAAGACAAGTAATGATGCATTGGTTAATTTCTTCTCAAGCTCATTGAATGCATTATCTTACATATCTCCTCATTTAAAGACAACATTCTTTTTCATTAAGTTATCCAATGGTGCAGCTATGGTGCTAAAATCTTTTATAAATTTCCTATAGAACCTAGCTAACCCATGAAAACTATGAACTCCACTTGTAGTTTTTTTTGGGGTTGGTCAATCCCTAATTGCTTTGACTTTCTCTTCATCTACTTCTATTCCATTTTTATCAACTATAAAGCCAAGAAAGTTAAAACTACACTACACTTATTAAAGTTAGCACAAAGTTTCATTTTCTAAGCGTAATCAAAACTGACTTAACATGTTCCACATGCTCATGCAAAGTCTTGAATAAATTAAAATATCATCAAAATATACAACAACGTGCTTTCCTAAATATTCTCAAAACGTGATTTATTAAGCATATAAATGTACTAGGAGCATTAGCTAATCCAAAAGGCATAACAAGTCATTCATACCATCCAAACTTAGTTTTGAAAGCTATTTTTCATTCATCTCCTACATGCATTCTAATTTGATGATATCTAGATTTCAAATCAATTTTTGTAAATAGACATGAACCATGCAATTCATCAAGCATATCATCTAGCTTAGGAATAAGATGTCGATACTTTATGGTGATTTTGTTGATGGCTTTACAATCCACACACATGCGCCATAATCTTCAGCCTAATGATCCAAGTTTTTGTTGAAGCAAGAACCCTTAAAGTATTCTAACAACTCATGAAATGATGCTTACAACTTCATCCGCTACTTCAACCGTGCAAATATTCACTTTTGAAGCTCCAGATAGTCCTTCCTCAATCGAATCAGCTTGTAACACATGAAATGATGGTTGAACCGAGCCTATCCAATTTTGTAGATAAAGAATGAATGCTTGTTGAATTTTCTTGGCCTTGGATCGTGTAATAGGTCTAGTTAAAACATTTGGAACACTGTGGATTGACAACTTAGTAGGAAGAATTGATAACTAGACAGTTTTCTTTATATTATATTTTGAAGTATTTTAATCTTGTCCAGTGTAGACATGATTTTGGCAATTGATATAACATAAATTGTAAAGACATCACTAATATCAAAACAAGTAAAAAGGATTTGGAACGGAGATGTGGCCACATGCAACACGTCTTAGACAAGCATGAAACATAAATGATAAAGACATCACTAACATAAAAACAAGTAAAAGGGATTTGGAACGGATATGTGGCCACATGCAACACGTTTTAGACAAGCATGACTAAAAAATCTAGCACGCGGCTACAGACAACACAGTTTAGACAAACATTACCTAACCACCCTACTCTTAATAAATTTATAGAGGTGAAGTGAAGTTATGGGTGAAATGTAAATAAATTAATTTTAGGGGCATTTGCATTAATAAATGTGTGCGAGATTGACCACGGACTTCATTTATTTAATATTTTTGTACGATTTGTTTCCTTATTTAATGTGCAAAATGAATTTAAAAAAAAAAAACTTACCCTAAAATTTTACTTCATTAAATGAAGTTATAATTAAAATGGAGTTCTAAATTTGACCCTATTTCTTTCAATTTTGTATTAATTCCCTATAATTAATAAATTAAATGCAAATAAAAATATTAATTTTATTTTTTTGTGAGATGTAAAAAAAAAAATTGTAAAAAATAAAAATTACAATATTTATTGGCTTGAATTTTATTAGTAGAAATTCAAGTCTAAACCCACCTTACTAAGAAGATAAAAATTGAATTTATTATTTAATTTCTTTTTAAAATTTAAAATTTATAGACTAAATTAAAAGTACTTAAAAATTCAAAAGGAAAGAAAAGGACAGTTTTAGAGAGAGAAAAATAAATAAATAAATAAATAAATCGAAACGTTATCCATAGAAAAAAGTCCTGTCTCTGTCCATGAGAATCTGGCGCATATATATATATATATATTTTTTTTTTAATTAATAAAAAAACTAAGTAAAATAAAATAAATTTTAATTTATTTTTTATATTTGGTTTAATTTTTAATTAAATAAATTATCATACCATAAATATGCTCTTGCTTGTCTCTAGTAGTCGATCGAGTTTCTTCGTCACTCTCCCACTTAATGATTAATGATTAAGGTAAGTTGCTGCAACCCCTTAACACTTGTTCATCTTTTCTTCTACGAAAATCCCGAGGTTTCCTCCTCTCTCCCTCATTCTATACATTCCTCTTTCTTTCACCTCTAGTATAAAAACGATTGCAATAATTATGTCTAATATTAGGACTGCACAACAACACACACTCGATCTAGATGAAGAACACGAAAAAGATGAAAGAAAAAAATTCAAAGAAAAATATTGGCTAGAGGTTGATATTGATGACTTATGATATGCATAGTTATAAAAAATATCGAGAATACATAAAATACATTCTCAAAAGAACTACGTACTGTACTAAGGATATTTAGTACTAAATTATAACTTACTATATATATTATATTTGATCCTTCTAGTTTACGCAAATACATTGTATCCATTTAATGTTCTTTCCATATCTTTATAATTTATTTGATGAGTATAAATGGAGAATTTCGCTACCATTATTTAGGTGGGGTGATTTTAGCAAATATTATCGTACAAGAATATATGTGAGATCCCACGTCCGTGGGGAGAACGAAAGGAATAGCTAAAAGAGGAGAATATGTAAAACTGTGGGCGTGGACGATTACGATATATGTAGAGTTCAGTTTACTGTAGATAACTTTACCGTACACATCTAAATTAAACGGGAAAAAGACGGAGCACACAAAATAAGATTTGAAAGAAAATAAATAAATAAATAAACAAAAACAAACGCGGTTTTTGTGAGTTGTCTCTGCTTGGCGTTTCCTTCACTGAGTGGTAGAAGAGTAGCTAAGCTGAAGAACACGAAGTTACAGAGGCAGAGCTCCATTTCTAGCATTCTTCTCTGCTCGATCTTCTTCCATTTCAAGCTATATGCCACTCTAGTTCTCCACTTCCTTCCCTCAAATGTCTACTTCCGACCCCAAATCCCGCACCCGTCCCGCACCGGACCCATCCTCAATGCCTCCTTCTTCTTGGGCCAAACGCACCGGCTTTCGTCCCAACTTCTCCGGCGAGACCAATCCCTCTGATTCCGCCCACATCGCTCTTCCGCCCAGGCCCAAGGACCCCGACGCCCATCCGGATCTCGAAGCTGGACGCCCTCGGGGCACTTCTGCGGTTAATGGAGACCCCACCGGTGCCAAGGCGCCTTCTCCACAGCCTCAGCCGCCGTTGGAAAAAGATCAGCCGGTGAAGAGGAGGAAGGATTCTGATGGGTTACCCAAGGGTTCTGGACCTGCTCAGAATGGTCATGCTCTGCCTCCGCCTCCTCCTTCCGAACCGCCGAACCAACCTCGGCGGCTGCCACAGACCGGCGATGATGATGGATTTGTGGCTAGACATTCGCACATGAAGTACGAGCTCAGAGATACGCCTGGTCTTGGTGAGTTTTTCACTAAAGAACACTCTATATTAGTTATATTGTAGGCTTTGCAAGTGACACGATATGTGTTTGTTGGTGCTCAAATTTCAGTACCGATTGGTGTATATGGATTGCAGCATTATATTTCTATGTTGGGTTCATTGGTTCTTATCCCGCTTGTTATAGTTCCTGCTATGGGTGGCACTCACGTAAGTAGCTTAATGTTACTTGTATGCAACTTTTTCACTATTTTTGGTTTGGAATTTGCAAAGTTCTTGAACTGATTGAAGTTAGTGGCGTATAGGAGGACACTTCAAATGTGGTATCCACGGTGCTCTTTGTGTCGGGCATTACTACTCTTTTGCATACGTCTTTTGGCTCAAGATTACCGTTGATACAAGGTCCATCACTTGTTTTCCTCGCTCCAGCATTAGCAATTATCAATTCCACAGAGTTTCAAGGACTTAACGGGAACGTATGCTTCTCCTTTCCTCTGTTTTCTTTTTTATTGAACTATGGGAATTAGCAACTCTCTCTTCTCCACTCAGATGTATTGTTATCTGTCATTGCTGTTAGAAGAGATTATGTAACAGCCCATGCCCTCCGCTAGTAGATATTGTCCGTTTTGACTCGTTATGTATGGCCGTTAGCCTCATGGTTTTAAAACGTGTCTTCTAGGGAGAGGTTTCCACACCCTTGTAAGGAATGCATCGTTCTCCTCTCCAACCAATGTGGGATCTCACAATCCATCTCCTTTGGAGGTTCAATATCCTCATTGGCACACTATCCAGTGCTTGACTCTGATACCATTTGTAACAGCTCAAACCTACCGTAGGTAGATATTGTCTGTTTTGACCCGTTACGTATGGCCGTCAGCCTCACGGTTTTAAAACGCGTTTACTTGGGAGAGGTTTCCATACCCTTGTAAGGAATGTTTCGTTCTCCTCTCAAACCGATGTGGGATCTCACAATCCACCTCTTTTGGGTGTCCAATGTACTCGCTGGCACACTTAGGTCTGATACCATTTGTAACAGCCTAAGCCCACTGCTAGTAGATATTGTCCCCTTTGACCCATTACGTATCGCCGTCAGCCTCATAGTTTTAAAATGCGTCTACTAGGGAGAGATTTCCACACCCTTGTAAGGAATGCATTGTGAGATCCTACATTGGTTGGAAAGGAAACCGAATTATTCCTTACAAGGGTGTGGAAACCTCTACCTCGTAGATACGTTTTAAAGCCATGAGACTAACAACAATACGTAATGGGCCAAAGCGGACAATATTTACTAGCCAGGCTTGGGCTATTATAGATGTTCGAACCACAAAAAAAATTGAACCAGTACCTTATTATAGTCAAAGTAATTGAAAGTCCTAGCTTCCTACTAGACTTATTTTTCTTAGCTATGAATGTGACATCTATTTCATTGAGTAAACTAAATAATGTAATAAATTCATTCTAAGTCTCTCCCAATGCGTTTAATCTTTTTACTCGTCCTAAATCCGAAAAATCCTTACAGAATTTTAAGCATATAATGAAGGAGTTACAAGGAGCAATTATCATAGCTTCAGCTTTTCAAGCATTACTTGGATACAGTGGATTAATGTCACTACTTTTGAGGTATAATGTTCTTAACTCTTAAAAACTCTGTTCCCACATTACACTACCAAGTAATTGATTTATATATTTCAGGTTGATCCATCCTGTAGTCGTGGCCCCGACCATTGCTGCTGTTGGACTGTCATTTTATAGTTATGGTTTTCCAGTAGTAGGCGCTTGTCTCGAGATTGGTGTCGTGCAGATACTTTTGGCTATCATATTTTCTCTTGTACGTTCATCTACAAAAAATAGTGACAAAAATTATGCTATATTACTTGTCCTGTCACTTTTTTCTGTTTAATTCCGAACAAATTACTAACACACGTTCATGGATTCCGCAGTATCTCCGAAAGATATCAATTCTCGGCCATCGTATTTTTCTAATATATGCAGTAAGCTGCTAGTTTCCTTGTATCCTTCTTAAGGTTGTCTTTGAACATGCATGTTATTGATTATGATCTTATATTTCATTGCTAGGTTCCACTTGGAATTGTTATCACGTGGGCGTTGGCGTTTTTGCTCACAGAAGCTGGAGTTTATAGTTACAAAGGTTGTGATACAAATGTTCCTTCCTCAAATATAATATCTGATCACTGCAGAAAACATGTTTCAAGGATGAAGCATTGTAGAGTTGATACTTCTTATGCGCTAAAATCTTCACCATGGTTTAGATTTCCTTATCCGTTGCAGTGGGGCACCCCTGTCTTCCACTGGAAAACAGCAATTGTTATGTGTGTCGTGTCGGTCATCTCGTCTGTGGATTCGGTGAGTAGTCTCGTGTTTCTAGTTTTCTTCTTTAGATCTTCATTGTTCTGATAATCTTTCTCGCATCACATTTCTTTTTGGTTAGATATGGTTATGTAGATATATATGTATACATGTTCATACTATGTGAGATCTCACATTAGTTGGGGAGGAGAACAAAACATTCTTTATAAGAGTGTGGAAACCTCTTTCTAGCAGACACATTTTAAAAACCTTGAGGGGAAGCCTGAAAGAGAAAACCCAAAGAGAACAATATCTGCTAGCGGTGGACTTGGGCTTGAGCTGTTACAAATGGTATCAGAGCTAGACACTGGGCGATGTGCCAGCAAGGAGGCTGAGCTTTGAAGGTGGGTGGATACAAGACGGTGTGTCAGCAAGGACGTTGGGCCCAGGGGTGGATTGGGGGGGGGTCCCATATCAATTGGAGAAGGGAATGAGTGCTAGTGAGGACGTTGGGCCTGAAGGGGGTGGATTGTGAGATTCCACATTAGTTGGGGAGGAGAACGAAGCATTCTTTATAAGGGTATTGAAACCTCTCCTTAGTAGACACGTTTTAAAAACCTTGAGGGGAAGCCTGAAAGAGAAAACTCAAAGAGGACAATATCTGCTAGCGGTGGGTTTGGGCTGTTACAAATGGTATTAGAGCCAGACATCGAGCGATGTGCCAGCAAGGAGGTTGAACCCTGAAGGGGGTGGACACAAAGCAGTGTGCCAGCAAGGACGTTGGGCTCGGGGGTGGATTGGAGGGTCCCACATCGATTGGAGAAGGGAACGAGTACCAACGAGGAAGCTGGGCTTAAGGGGGGTGGATTGTGAGATCCCACATCGGTTGAGGAGGAGAACAAAACATAATTTATAAGGATGTGGAAACCTCTTCCTAGCAGACGCGTTTTAAAAACCTTGAGGGGAAGTCCGAAAGGAAAAGCCAAAAGAGGACAATATCTGCTAGCGGTGGACTTGGAGTGTTACATATTATGTATTAAAGATGAGTTTGGAAATGCCGGAAGCTTGTATAAGGAATAAGAATGTCCTTGGAAATGCCGGAAGCTTGTATAAGGAATAAGAATGTCCATTTCTCCATATTAGGCACGACCTCGATATCCCAACAACTTTTTCTTCCAAACCTTCATAGCAGAAGGATCCCAGCTTCATAAGGTCATAGGCACCATTTCTTTTCGTCTTTTTGTAGTGAATTTTGGCAGCCTATGTTGGGAATGCGACTAACTTCTCACCTTAACTTGGTTAGAAAAGAGGAAGATCATGAATATATAATTGAGAGACATCTCCATTAGTACAAGGCCTTTCGGACGAAACCAAAAGGAAAAACCCAGTTGGTTTGTGTCTAAAGTGGAGACTATCATACCATTGTGGACATATGTGGAGGATTCGTTGTCCTTAACCATTTGTATCAAACCAATGCTTAATAGTTAGCTGTATTGTTAAAATCTTTTGGTGCCAAACAAAGGTATGGTGAGCCTAAACAACATAGGCTTAGTGGAGATCCGCGGTTGAGCTCTATCATATCTCACCAACAATCGACCACCAAAGCATCTTTTTTAGTTGAAACCACACATAAGTCGGGAAAAGAACTAGGCAAAAGTTCTGCAGTGGCACTTGACAGACCAGCAAGACTCGTTTTGGCTTACTCCACTAACATTCTACAGACCCCGTGGATTCTATTTTGATTCCTTACCACCAAGGATTCCCCTATCCTCGCTGTAGGAACATACTGAGGCTAAAGTAGTTGCCGTCTTTATCTTTGAGTAAGTTGCTATTGAGCTCAGCCCTTGGTAACATACTACAGAATCATAAGAATCATATCCTGAGGACTAAAGAGGCTGCCTTGGAAGGGAAGTGTCTGGGTTTCCTTGACGAGTCAGAGGAAATGCGGGTGTGCATCCGATGATCCATTCAACTTACTAGCCACACACACATATATATATTATATTATATTATGTAGTCTGCTTCTTATTAAAATAATATAGTTAATCGTTAGGAAAATGAAGTAAACAAAATGAACAATATAATTCTCAGATACCTTAGATTAGCTATACTATGTTTTTAATTAGTCTGATAAAAAGTGTTTAATAAGTCTAGAATGGTTATAGTCTGTGCGTTTTTTTTCCCTTCTCGGGTCCATAGATCATCAAATCATTTCGAACAACGCCACGCTACTTGGATCGTGAAACTTATCTATAAAACAGCATCATTGCCCTTATTTCATTATTTCTGTTACTTAGATTATATGCTTGTACAGATCTAAATAACATGTATATTCATTACTCATGTTTATATGTATAATTGTTTATCAATGTTATAGTTCATCTAGTTTCTTAATCACAACTCTAATTTATTATTGAACCACTCAGGTTGGTTCGTACCATGCTGCGTCATTGTTGGTGGCATCCCGACCCCCATCACCGGGTATTCTTAGTCGAGGAATTGGACTGGAAGGTCTTTCTAGCATTTTGGCTGGTCTATGGGGTACAGGAACCGGTTCTACGACGCTTACCGAGAATGTTCATACTATAGCTGTTACGAAAATGGGAAGCCGAAGAGCAGTTGAATTGGGTGCATGCATTTTGATAGTATTATCTCTTGTAGGTGAGTAACTTCAAATCGTGTGCATGCGTTTTTGTATTCTTTTTTACCAGGAATAAATTTGAACTTAGGATCCAGTTCTCTCAGGATGTTTGAAATGCTCCTTACCTCGAGACCTTGAGTGAAAGCAAAGTTGAAGAAACCATGGTGGAAATGTTCTCGAAGTGTCGAAAAGTTCCTCTCTTTTAGTTTTCGTAAAAGAATTCGCTGTACGTCTAGTCCTTCGGCTGTTTCTGTAATAGCCCAAACCCACCGCTAACAGATATTGTCCTTTTTGAGCTTTCCCATTCAGGCTTCCCTTCAAGGTTTTTAAACCGCTTCTTTTAGGGAGAGGTTTTCACACCCTTGTAAACAATGTTTTGTTCTCCTCTCCAACCGATGTATTGTGAGATCCCATATCGATTGGGAAGGAGAACGAAGCATTTTTTATAAGAGTGTCGAAACCTCTTCCTAGCAGACGTGTTTTAAAATCTTGAAGAGATGTTCAAAAGGGAAAGCCCAAAGATGACAATATTTGTTGGTGGTGGGCTTAAGCTGTTACAAATGGTATAGAGCTAGACATTGGACGCTGTGCCAATGAGGAGGCTGAGCCCCAAGGGGGGTGGACATGAAGCGGTGTGCCAGCAAGGACACTGGGCCCTGAAGGGGGGTGGGATTGGGGGGTCCTACAAAGGTTGGAGAAGGAAACGAGTGTCAGCGAGGACGCTAGGCCCTGAAGGGGGGTGAATTGTGAGATCCCCCACATCGCTTGGAGAGGAGAACGAAACATTCTTTATAAGGGTGTGGAAACCTCTCCCTAGCATATACGTTTTAAAAACTTTGAGGGGAAGCCTGAAAGGGAAAGCCCAAAGAGGACAATATCTACTGGCAGTGGGCATGGTCATGGGTCATTATGGGTCATTACAGTTTCTTTGCCATTTTTAATAGAATCATTCTTGGTTTCATTAAAACAATATAGACATTCACTCTTTGGTTCGGACGGGTTGAGTCACCATGGTCTCTACAAGGAGCTTTAGCAGATTGGTGTCCACATCAAGAGGATTTGGTTAGTTTATGGGTAAGTTTAGAATACTCATTTTTTATAATATAGTATCTCAACTTAAGGTAGGCATCTAGCTCCCTTCAAAAACCTGGGCTGCTGCCTTATCACCCATACTTCATTCTTTAAGCATTTCATCACATTATGACATCCTGAAGTCAATTTCTATGAATCTGTGATATCTTTGAGCTCTGTTTTTGTTCCATTTTGAGTAGCAGTTTGGCGTTGCAGGTAAAGTTGGGGGCCTTATTGCTTCCATTCCCGACGTCATGGTTGCTGCTCTTCTTTGCTTCATGTGGGCAATGCTTACGGCACTCGGCTTGTCAAATCTTCGGTATAGCGAAGCAGGAAGCTCCCGGAACATTATCATTGTCGGATTATCATTATTCTTCTCGCTTTCGATACCAGCCTACTTTCAACAGTACGGTATCTCCCCAGGCTCCAACTTGTCTGTTCCAAGTTATTTCCAGCCATATATTGTGGCTTCTCATGGACCTTTCAACAGTAAATCTGGAGGGGTATGTCTCTCTCGATACCTCAATCCTCTTATGTTATGTTAATGTGATATCCCACATTGGTTGGGGAGGAGAACGAAACACCCTTTATAAGGTGTGGAAACCTATCCCTAGCAGACACGTTTTAAAGCCTTGAGGAGAAGCCCGAAAGGGAAAGCCTAAAGAGGACAATATCTGCTAGCGGTGGGCTTGGGCCGTTACAAATGGTATTATATTTGGTGGGGATCTCACATCGATTAGAGAAAGGAACGAGTGTCAGCGTCCTCGCTGGGCCCTGAAGGGGGGTGGATTGAGAATCCCACATTGGTCGGGGAGGAGAACAAAACACCCTTTATAAGGGTGTGGAAACCTTTCCCTAGCAGGTGGCTTTTAAAGCTTTGAGTGGAAGCCCGAAAGGGAAAGTGCCCAAAAGGGAAAGTCCAGAGAGGATAATATCTGCTAGCGGTGGGGCTTGGGGTGTGGAAACTTTTCCCTAGTAGGCGGCTTTTAAAGCCTTGAGTGGAAGTCCAAAAGGGAAAGCCCAGAGAGGACAATATCTGCTAGCGGTGGGCTTGGACGGTTACGGTTAATGAAAATAGCCTACACATTTTTACCTTTTTGGTGCCATTATTGAGATACACTTTCGTTTTCTCGTTCGTCCTTGTGCATTTTCCCTTTTAGCTGAACTCTTCGTGTTTTGGTTGCGAATGGATTGTGCTCGATCATTAACAAACATCTTAGCTTTATTTATCGTGTTTGATCCTCTATTCCTGTTGTGCAGCTGAATTTCATTCTCAACACATTATTCTCGTTACACATGGTGATCGCATTCTTAGTCGCCATCATCCTTGATAACACTGTGCCCGGCAGTCGACAGGAACCTGGTGTATATGTGTGGTCTGATCCTGAGGCTGCAAGGAGGGAGCCTGCTGTTACCAAAGACTACGAGCTTCCATTCCGGGTTGGTCGAGTTTTCAGATGGGTGAAATGGGTTGGATTCTAAATGACCAATATTTGTTACATATCGCTTGTCATTCAGATAGCAGCACCAATGGTGGTGTGTTGTGCATTCTGATTCCAAATGTAAGTTCCTACAACCCTCCACAAGGGAATAGGTCCTCTTCGTTGTGTTCGGGGGGCTCGGTGGGTGCGTTTTCTTACACGAAACGCGTTAGCGGAATAGATTTGTACATTTTTTTGAGAATCCAGAATGATCTGGCTGTGTTGTAATTTAGTTTTGGGAGTTCATCCAGGTGAGGTCAGGTTAGGTCAGGTCTTGTATATTTTTCTTCTTCCCATTTATTTATTAGCTTTGTTCTTTTTATTGGGATTTTGAGTTTCGATTCTTATTATTTGTCAGAACTGAATATTATGGTTTATAAGGAACTTCGACCTTAGCTTTATCTTATATTATTTTATCAATAACGACTCGACGTTTTATAATCCTTAGCGGACTTGGGTTCGATATCCTATGCTATAGACCGAGCATAAAAATAAAAACATGCCACATTTTAAAAAAACTACCAAGTTTTGTACGGAAACAAGGCATCCAAATGAACCTTAAATGGTTCAAAACTAGTCAATTTTCATATGCATAGGTGAACAATTGTCTCGAGTAAAAATCGCAGCACAATGGTATACGACTCCTATGCATATAGATAGGTGATTGCTATGAGACTATATCTCAAAGAGGGTATACAATCTCCGTGCATATATTATAAGTAAGTCTCCAAGGCCATGTCGTATAGTCGAATGTAATTCTACAATTTTCATACATACAGATACATTATTGTGTTACGTTCTAATGTAACTCTCAGACACGTAAATAGAGAATTACTATAATTCTGATGCATTGAGATAAGTAATTGTCTCAAGTTTTCATACATTTGAAAGGTCTTATAACATTTAAAATATCATTTACAAGTATGCACATACATTACAATAAATCACAGAACAACATGCAGACGTATCTAACGATTTCAAGACGTTAAAAACGATAGTCATCTATTGTGAAAAGTGCCTAAACATCATACAAAAGTGTCTAAACATCATAAATTAAAGCCTTTTCTATTGGTCTGTAATTTTTTTTTCTCTCTCTGTTGTGTGACTTTATAAGTTTTCTAACTCTAATAATAGGTATGAGAGAGACACATAAGCCTACCATTATTCCTGCAAACGCTCTCCTTTTTTTTCATTCAACTCTTCGAATTAACTTTTCAAACAAATTAACTAAAGTTAACATTTAACATTTTTAAGTTTATTTCAACAAAACTACCCCGTAAAATTGAATGCTCCTGCCATGTGTCATGCCAATCATTTTCTTGTATTTGTTGAAAAGTACTTTCGGCAGCGGTTTTGTAAAGATTCCTGTAACTTGATCCTGACTTGCCACATGCAGCAATTCCACACTTCCTTCCTTCACATGATCTCGGATAAAGTGAAATCGAATGTCAATGTGTTTGCTTCTTTCATAGTTCACTGGGTTATTTGCCAACTCAATTGCTAATTTGTTGTCAACTTGAATCACGGTTGCACCTCATTGCTTTAAATCCATCTTGCTCAACAAAGATTCTAAGCATATTGCGTGACACACACCAAGATGCTGCCACATACCCAGCTTCACACGTCGAGAGTGTCACGATCGGTTGTTTCTTTGAAAGCCAAGTAAATGCTGTGTGTTGCCCATGAAGAATACATAACCCGATGTACTTTTCCGATCGTCTATGTCTCCACACCAATCACTGTCAGAGTAACCAACTAATTTGTAATCTTCTATTTTTTAGTAGAACAACCGAAGTGACACCGTTCCTTGGATGTACCGTAGGACTCGCTTCAATGCCTTCCAATGTGAATAAATCGGCTCCTCCATGAATTGGCTTATAATGCCGACACTTCATGAAAGATCTGGCCTTGTGTATGTAAGATAGCGATGGCTTCCTATGAGGCTCTGGTACCTATTTGCATCTACTCGTTCTCCTTCATCGTACTTTGAGAGTTTTCCACGTGGTTCCATTGGTTTTGATATTGGGTTGCAATTTTCCATCTTGTACTTCAAAATTTGCATATTTCTCCTGTGATATAAAGATACCCGTCTCTCCTTGCTTAACCTCCAAACCAAGGAAAAACTTTAACAATACCTAAGTCTGTCATCTCAAATTCTCGTTCATTGTGCTTTTGAACTCTTCTATCATTTCATCATTGTTGCCTGGAAAGATGAGGTCATCGACATAAAGAGCAACAAGTATCACATTACCTCCACTTTTCTTTGTGTAAAGTGCATGCTCATGGGGACATTGCTTTATATACTCGCCACCTCTATCGGATCGTACAGCCTTAATGTGTCTACCTATTGCCTTCTCTACCATCATTTTGAACTTTTTGAACATCTCGAATGCCTCTGATTTTTCTTTAAGAAAGTAGGCCCAAGTTTTTCGTAAGTAATCATCGATAAAGGAAATGAAATACCTCTTTCCGCTGAAGGACTCGGGGGTAATTGGTCCACATATATATGTATGGATCAACTCGAGAGGTTGTTTAGCCCAAAATTCAGCCTTCTTTTGAATTGAGGTTCTCATATGCTTGCTGAGCACGCATTTTTCACAAAATTTTCTTTGAAGTCCATGTTGGGTAGCCTATGTACCATATTCTTCTTTACTAACTCCTTTAGGCCGCCATGATGTAGGTGACCAAAGCGGAAATGCCACAGTGATGCCTTGTCTTCTACGTCGACTCACAAACACTTTTCTCGTATGCTTCTTAAATTTAGTTTGTACATCCGATTTCTTCCTATCTTGACCCAAGCAACCAAACGCCCTTGCTTATCCTTCAGGTGTAGCAGGTGGTCCTTTAAGAATATCGAGTAACCTTTCTGATAAGATAAGGAAAGATAAGGAACATTGTTTGAGATTCGAATCACTCCACAAGCAAATGATAAGATAAGGAATCACTACAAGGGGAATAAGATTCGGATTACCTTGTTGATCGAATATCTCAAGACAAGAACATTGTTTGAGATTCGAATCACTCCACAAGGAAGATCGATCATGTCTAGCTTGAATGATTCTTGTTGATCAAATATCTCAAGGCAAGAACACTTGCTTGAGATTCGAACCACAAGCAAGATTGATCATGTCAAGCTTGAATGATTCTACATGCAATCTAAACTACATAGAATTGCAAAGAAACTTAGCCATTGGCTAAAGAAAAGCACAAATGCTTCTTTTACTATATATTTTCCAAGTCTACTTACAAATCCAACATACATGGCTTTATATAGCCTCAAAATGAAACTATTAAAGGCATTCCAAAAGTTGTAACGTTCATACTTAATGGCCATAATTAGCCATTAGGTAAATGTAACCTAAGGTAAATAAAATGTCTTAAAATACAATAACTCTAAATTACTCTAAATTGTAACCCACCCAAAATTTATAACCATCAAACTTCATTCCTCTTCAATGTGACATGAATTGCAATCTCTTTTGATAATTTTGACAACATTTTCTTCACATCTTCATTGAAGTATATTGTATGAATGATGTCTCTTGGTTCATATCACTTTCTCTGTGAGTTGCCCCATATTCAGTATGTTGGTCTTGAGGTCTAGTATGTAATAAACATCTTGGATTGACCCCATTATACCATCTTTTTGCAAGAAATGTATCGTACCTCCACCTTTGACGCAACTCCAAATGACACATGACTTTCTTCAACCTTTTGCATCTATTTGAATAGGTACTCGTGACCGCACATATGGTTGCTTGCCCCTGAGTTGAGGTACCACAGAGTGTCGTTGTTAATGTTACTTCACTTTGAGCCATCAAGAGAAGACCTTCATTTGTAACGTCTTCCAAGGCTAGGTTGGTGGTTTCTTCCACCTTTTTCTCGGCTCAACAATCTTTTGCAAAATGCCCCATTTTACCACAATTGTAACAGTTGTCGGAGTTATAATCATTCGCATAGTGACCATATTTTTGACATTTATAGCACTGAATGTTGGAATAGGTTGATCGACCGCCTCTTCCTCGACTACGTCCTCTTCCACGCCAATTTGCTTGGCTCGACTGTCTCTTCTCCTTATAATGTCCTTCATTACTGCTGCCTTGACCACCTCGACCATTTTCACGACTTCCATGACCACAACCTCTACTTTGAACATTTTGAGAGTAGAGTACCTTTTCATCTTTTATTGATGCCTTGGTTTGAAGTGCTTGATTGAGTGTTTCCTCCTTCTTGTTACGTTGCTCGTGTGCCTTGAGAGAACCAGGGAGCTCATCGACCGTGAACGTCGCTAGGTCCTTTGACTCATCTATCACACATACAACATTCACGAAGTTTTTAGTTAATGACCTCAAGATCTTCTCCACAACCCGCATCTCGGGTAACATTTCTCCTTTTCGATTTAGTTGGTTTACCACAGTCTGTACGCACGTAATGTAGTCAGTTACATTTTCTGACTCCTTCATCTTCATGCTCTCCAACTCGCCACGAAGAGTTTCGAGACGCACTTGCTTGACTTGGTCGGTTCCTTTGAACACCTTTTCTAAAGTGTCCCATGCTTCTTTTGAAATAGTTGCCCTGGCAATCTTCTCAAAGCCCAACTCGTCAACGGCTCGGAACAGCATGTATAATGCCGTCTTTTCCTTTGATCGCAATTCTTTTAACGCCTTGTTTTGTGCCACTGTATAACGTGTGGTATCCTTTGGTTCTTCGAAACCTGCTTCGATCAACTCCTGTGCTTCTTGAGAATCGAGAAGAGCCTTCTTTTGGATGCTCTAATCCTCGTAGTTCGTCTTCGTTAGTCGCGGTAGTGGCATTTGACCCATCACATTCGCCATCTACTTTGATACCAATTTGTTAAATACATATTGAGATATATTATGACATTCAAATATAATTTAAATAAGATATTATATCATAATATATACTCAAATATATTATTTGACAAAGGTTCTCCCAAAAAACTTGTAAACAGGACCTTTGGGTTGAGCTAATCTCTCACACTTTCTTCTCTCATGAATTTTCTTGAAACATTCATCCTCCAATCCCTTAGGATTTTCTTTCAGGAGGCTCCCACAAGTCTTGATCTTGTGTTCGAATCATAACAATGAATATTTTGTGGAAGAACTTTCACGTTGTTGGACTACATCGAAGAGACTTCAAGCTACGATTTCTACATAGGTAGAGTTTTGCTCTCATATTTATTGATATGTTTTAATTCTTAATAAAATAAAACTGGTTACCAATGCTTTCGCTATATGGATGAAGAGTTCATTTCCTTCACCTTCATGCGCTCACCACGCGCCCTATGCCCCTCAGCCACTCTTGTACACGCGTGTGTGAACCCCATGCGCCTGTCATCTTCATCCTCGCGTTTCTCCTGCATTTTTCAGATCTTTTTCATTAA